TAAAATCTCCACTGGTTGGTCTCATCCATTAGTTTGTATCACTTAGGTCAAGTCTGAGCAGACCAAGACATCTTCTGAGCTCTCCTTGATCTGAGAGAACCTGTTAGATCTTTTCTTCTTATCCTTTAATTTTTTTTAATGTTAGTAAAGATCAAACAGGAAAGTAGGGTTGAGAGCAAGGGGGAGTGGTGCAGGGCAGACTTAAACCCAGGCCCCTGCAGGCTTTTAGCACGTGGGTCACCCAGTCAAACAGGTGAGCTATAGCAGACCTTTTCTTGTTAACCTTCGGGGTACACAAGCACCAATGTAGGCTGAAAGTCATAGCTGGATTGTGGTTCCAGTCCTTTAGATGTGATAAACAGGTGAAGCCCATATGCAACAACAAATGCCCCCAGGGTTTTTCCTATGTATAAAGAGAAAATTGGCTTCAGTCAGGTTGTATGGTGTAGAGAAGACCCAAAAGCATGATGTAAGACCCAGTGAAAAGGCAAACCTTCAATAGTAATCAAAAATAATGATAATGATAATAATAACAATGAGGAGTGAGAGGAAAAACAATAGAACACAGAGAGCGAATAAACGCATTACAAAAACAAGGGTCTAATCAAAACAAGAACCAAAATCTCAATAAATACTAAACAAGAATCCAAAGCACAACAAAGCCAAACCCTGACAGTATTAGCCGTCCACCAGAGGAAATATTTTTTTAATTGGGGTTTAATTTAGTCAAGCATAAAATACATTTTTGTTATTAAAAGCCAAAAACAGCAAGAAAATCCAAAGACGTCTATTAAGTAAGGTAACACGGACACTGACCAACCTTACCTATGCTTCACAGGAGAAAGTGTATGCCCTCGAGGGGTTTGCAAACTCGTCTCAACAACAAAAAGACTGAGACAGTGACATCTGCAACCTTTTCCACGTGACTGAGACCAGTTATCTTATCATGATGCTTCCAGAACAGCTTCTGAGTGAAGTAGCTCAGACTAAGTAAAGAGACTGGGGAAAAAAAGGGAAAAACTAAAAAGAAGACCATCTGCTGCTGAACAGCTGAGATGAATAATACACTCTGAAGTTGGGTAGGAAGGTGCTAAGGCAATATGTCAGTGGTGGGCTGAATTAGCTCTAAATCATACTGGCAGGGTGTATTATAGCCATAGAGGAGGCCCATGTGAGCCTCACTTGCAGTGCCATTTTTGCCAATGATGTTAGATAGTGACATTTCTTCAACATCATTAAATATCATTACATTTACTCAGCATTTAAATAGCTCTGAGTGGTGCAGATGCTTAAGCACTGCCTGGAAGACTGCCTAACACATAACAAGCCTCTACATTTAAACAAGGTGTTAGCCTAAAAAAAAAACACATCCACAACGTTATTAAATTAGACTGCTTGTTGTAACAGAGAATGTGTAGAGTTAAAGTGGATTTATTTGCAGGTGCATCGCTTCTCTTCTCACCTTGTTGACTTGGTCGTCCTTCCCTGGATGGGAATCTGAGGGGTTCCACGTCCGGCATTGCTGCAACTTCCCCAAAATGTATTAAAAAGAACACATCGCTGACTCTAAAGCAACTTTTCAGCGCACTGTAAAAGCGGGAGAGACATCAGTTAACCTTCATTGTCTAATCTAAACCTGGATCTTTAGCTCCAAAAAACAAAAAAATATAATTGGTAGCTAAATATTTCTGTTATAATAGATTTAATTCCTGTCGTTGAACTTTGGGTCAAAGTTGCGCTAACTGCAAGTTGATACCTTCACTCATCTCCGGATGCCGCTCTTTTAGCTAACGTTAAGTTAACGTTTAATTAACTGAGCTAATGACAAATTAATGAGCTAGGGGAGGTCGTTGTCATGGCACAAAGTGAAAGCGGAAAAATGAATGGCTATCAACTTACTTGTATTAATACGCTTCTGGCTGGCAGCCATCAGAGAACTGTCTTAAACTGTGATACTGCTCTTCTGAATTAAACACCTCGCAGCTGACCAGCAACAAATACAACTTGACCCTTCTTTAAAGTTTTCTTCGAATGAATCAACTAAAGTTGCTGTCAATCTTCTTCGAAGGTTGCTTAGCAACAAGGGGGCCTGTACGCTCGGAAAGGGCGAGTTACATTCAAGAGCAGCAGCTATTTAGCTGCACGGGGAGGTCTCCTACGATTCATGTGAAATTAGGTACTTTTTTATTTTTTTAAAACACATTATTTTTCTCAAAGGTGGGATTAATTTAAAATTCAAATTGTATTTTTTATGTTTTTAGGCGGTTATAGACAGCAACCCTACTTCAGTAACCTATTTTCCAAGAATCCCACCGAAAGCGATACTTTTAAACACCACTCAGCAGCCATCTTGGAACGCACTTTGGAGAGTTATTTTGAAATTTCATATAAAATATGTGACCATTAAAACATAAGCCACTGAATTTATAAACTAACAGGCAAATCTGTTTTAAAAGAAACTGTTCAAAGATGATATCAAATCTGATAACGTTTGTTATGCCTGTGAAGCCATGTGAACGTCTGTATGTAATATTGTACTATATAAAAGTAAAACTGAAACGCACTGAATTAGCATCACAGCTGCTATACTGTTACCATATCATGTCTCTCTTAAAATGTGTTCGGTTGTTTTAACGATGAATAAACATTTTAGGACCCTCTAAAACTCTACACTTATGTTCAAAAATGTAATCTTTAACAGTGTAATATTTTATTGTTGTTTTTTTAATCGTTTTTTTATTGTGTGTGTGTGTGTGTGTGGTAATGGCAGGGTAGTGTCTTTATTTAGGTTTTCCTTTTGTTAATATTTTATAATGAGGTTTTCGTTATGATTCACATAATCTCTGCCCTGAATAGCTCACAATCTTCTTCCATTTACATTTAAAGAAATTTAACATAAAAGCGCATATAAACATTAAAAACTAGAGTGCGACACAATCAGTACAATCAGAACAACTGAAAAGATAAACGCTAAAGTAAACAACAAACAAATGATGAAAAGAAGGCATGTTACAAAAACAGATTCAAAATAATAGTCAAAGGTGTTCTACCTATAGATATATTATTGCACTTCGGTCACCATTAACGCAACTATTTGTCCACTCTTGGCTTTATTAGCTTTGCACTTGTTTCATCTGCATGACGTCATCTTCTTTAAGCCACATGATGCCGCAACTTGCAAACGACTTAATGTATGCGTGTATATAACACCACGTTAATATGCACCATAAGCTGCTCCTTTTTGTTTTTAGCATCTTTTTAAAACATTTTGTTGTATCAAACTTTAACATTTTTGCTGCCACGCTGACGCAAGTGAAGAGATTCCGCATTACGTCATCGCGGAGGCCACATATTGGAGGCAGAAGCTGCCTTGTTCCGATCAGCCAGTGTGCGCTGCCTGAAAAACATTTTCTTCCACAACACAAGCTTTTTTTCGGAGGTGCCGGAGAGCGGCTCGAGCACGGCCGCTTACGTGCAGCGATGCACCAGCCTACACCAAAGAAACCGTGATCGCGCCCCGGGACACGACGACGGATTCGCGGATGGAAAAACAGTGATGTTGCATGGCATGCCTCGAAATAAATTCTGGTAAGTGTTGTGCAAAGTGCTGCTGCTGCAGTCGCTGGAGGAGGGAGGCTGACGGGCAACGAGAGGAGCGAGCTTAACCCACTTTGCCCCACCGGGTGAAATTAGTTTGGCAAGTTTTTGGTGATTTAAAACGGGAGATGTGCAGGTAGTGAAACGCGGATAATGGGAAGGAAGGGGTGGGGGTAGATGTTCCTACAATAGTGAGACCTTTTGTCTCATGTCCACACAGGTGTTTCGAGTATGACAGGTGATGCATGAGGGCTGAGCGTGTACCACAGGGTGCCTGTTGCCACCCCACCCCCCAATGTCCTGCTACCTTTTGTAGGATTTTAGTAATGCTGCCCTAACTTCCACAGGGCACTGAGTCCATACCCAGAGGTGCATTTCTCCTCGGTGCAAATTTGTGTTTCCATGTTGGCTTTCACATTGCATAGTTAGACAGGCAACCATGCAAACTTATTCCACTTGTTTGTTTTCTTGTGACATTACAGAATTCAAGCTTCTTAATTCATGCAAAGAACTCACTGGGACACTTGCTACCCATAAATCAGTGTCTGCACTCTTTTAACGTCGGGGTAGCAAAGTTCTTCCCCTTTTTACAGCTGAAACCATGGTGATCATCAGCAGGTGACAGAGAGCCCTACCGGCAGACATCACCAGCTGGTACCAGGCATGAGGAGAACTCATCTCACTACCTTTACTACACCAGAGCAGAACAGCTGATTACCTTTAGTCAGCAGTGCAGCTTTTCCCTCTTGTTTTATTTTTTAATTCCTGTCTGGAGATGGGATTTGGATGCCAATGTAGTTCAGTCTCGTGATATAAAAATAACTCTGGCCAATCAGTGGTAACAGCTGCGATGTACTGTCCCGAGCCAGCGACACAGATTGGACTGTAACTCTAGTAAGTGCTTGTGTTAGGAATTGTTGCTTGTCAGCCTGGTCCAAGTACACGGAGGACATAAATTAACAGCACTCTCCTCAGGTTTTTTTTTTTGGTTTTTTTCTTAATCGAGCTGCTGCAGAAATAGAATCAAAAATGTAAATAACTTACTAATAAGGCTTGTTTTGGTCTGATATTTGTCCAGCAGAAATGCTGTGCAGCGTAAAAAAGGAAGGGGGTGGGGGATAGAGAGTGGCAGGGCTAAACGCGGCCAAGAGTCTTGCAGGAATGAGTCACGCTAACTCTGGACTGTTAGTGGTAAAAGAGGATTTGCTCTTTTAAGGACAATTATTTTCTAATACTTCCAGTGTGGCAGTGCCACAGAGAGTGAGTAATGTTTGCCAGGGCCAGATGTCGGGCACCATGTTTTGTGGGGGTCTGCAACTAGAGAGCCGGCAAAGCTGTAGAAGAATGTTGCACCTTCTCATTTGTAGTTAAAGATAGTGACAGCACATGCTGTATTCGAAGTCACAGTTTCTAGTTTCAGATGTGTTCGGATAGGCCCGCCCGTATGGGCCCATTTTGTTTGAAAGGAGTTTGTGTCATGGACTGTTGTTTTAGGAGAAAGGGCGACCTGGCTTTGTAATAACTCTGCTCAGGAAAGGGGGGGGGAAAGGGATACGAACATGGTGCTTTATGAAAGGTAAGGTTGATCATGTCATTCCCTTCCCCTGCACTGGTTTAATATCAGCTCTGGCAATAGATTGTATCAATCTCAGTTATTTCCAAGGATGAAAACAGACCGCAGAAGGTCACGTAGCTGGCACTCTGGATGTGTTTGAATGTGATGCGGCAAAGGGTATCAGTTTTAATCTAGACAATGCTGTATATTTGTACACTTTTATATTTGCTTAGTCTGGAAGTGATAAATGGGATTCAATATCCATTGCTTTCATGATGACATTGGACTTGTGGCTGCTGGCAGTGGCCTGACATTAAATTGCATCTAAAAGCGCTGTGGTTGTATTCATCATTCTCTTTAAACTGATGAGATTTATTATTTGTCTTATTAGAGGGCAGCGTTGAAATTCCTCTGTGGCCGTTGTGATCTGTGCTCTATTGTGAAGTAATTTACTGAAATACTGCACTTTATCCTATAATTCCAAGTTAACTTATTAGCTTAATCTCTCCCCTCTTGAAGTGGATTTCAAACATTCCTAGTGCTCCATAACTGACTGCCTGCACTGGCAAGAATCAGAGGAAGGCAAGCAGGAGGTGGGGGGCCAGAAAACTGTGGTGTTGTCTGCTTTTTAACACTAGGTGAATTCAAATTTCTGCACCACGCATATCTGCAGCATAATATTTGGGTCTACCAATTACTGTCAGAGTAATTTGAAAAAGCATGCCTGAATGACTGTCTCACAGAAAAAGCGTCTTCAAGCCACTCGCCCAAGAAGTGTCACTGTGCGCTCAAGTATCAGCCCGCCGACCGTTATCTCATAAAAGATATTTACTGGTGAAAAACTTTTCTCTACAAACTTTGCTCGTCTGCAGTGGGAGGTGTTATATGTGCGTGTGTGTGTGTGTATGAGTGTGTGTTTTAACGAGTGAAGCGGCTAGGATCTTTGCTGCCATAGCAACAAAACCACATGACTAGGTGTATTAGATTGCCTCGGACAGTGTGCAGCGAGGCATGGTGTGAGCATTCTCTCTCTGCAGCTCTGCCCCTTTCAAACTCCTCTCTATGTCCAACTTAAAAATATTTTGATAACCACCGCACTGCGCTGCATTCAGGTTGCAGTTTACAAAATATGAATACTCTCAAATTTGGAGCATAGTATGATGTTATCACGGCCGGATTGTCCTGCAGTGGGATGATGGGGCACAATAAGCCGTGGGCCCCTTTTGGCTCCCTTTGATGTTTTGTTTTGTTTTGCTTTTTAAGAAGTTTACACACCGACAACTCTTGTGAGTTTTGCATGGCATCATTTTTATCTGTTAATTTCTCTTTATGTAGGGAAATTAAAGAGCAGTGACCTTTTACTAGTCTTTCCAAACACAAAAAATGAGGGAACTGTGATAAATACACTAAACACTGTTGATCTGTGTTGCTGTTGGCATATCTGAAGTGAATAACTGGCTAACCACGTTAAAACTTCACCAGACTAAATATTAATAATATTAATGTCCTGTACCAAATTTAGATGTCATCAACAGGTTGATGAGCTCCTGTCAGTTGCTGTCTGTCCTTAATATACCAAAATAAAGTAGCCGTCTTAATGCTGTTATTATCTCTGGTAAATTGGAAGCAATGCTTAGCAGTTTTTATGGTGAAGTGCACGAGAAATCTTCTGCTGTCGTAGTAAGCTAGCAAACTCAAGAATTATAACATGTGCTTAACCTTGAGAAAGCGCCAAAACCTTCATGTCACGGGTGAAAGTTTAATTTTGTTGCATCTCTGTCATCCTTCCTGCAATCTAAAGCAGACTTTTTTTGGATATTTTAAGTTGAAAGAGGTGGGATTTTTGCTACTGACCTTGGTGCATATGCATTTCTGGGAGGAGAATATTAAAACTGGGTGTGCAAACATTTATTAATATTTGGGATATGCAGTTTTCTGCTAATTGCATCGATATTTAATGCTGAAAAAAGTGCAAGAAATAAGACATGCTTGTTATCAAAATTAATGATATCAAGCGATTCCTTGCAAAGAATTGTGCTCATGTGCTCATTTAGTAAATCTGTCCCCTTGTTTGGAAAAAGTCAGGGGAAAGACTTAGCCAACTTTTAGCTGAATTATCAGGATATCCACAACTGATTAAACTTTGGATAACCAGAACAGAGAAGCTGCGTTTGTATCAAGGTTAGGAGTCATTGCTTTAAAAGTCAAGAGTTTAATCTACTGCCATTATCGCTGAGTCATAACGATGTGTGTCTAATGTTGATGTTAAGCTTAAGGAAGAGCACCCTGAGGTTGCGACTGCTAATGCTGAGGCACTCGGGTTCTGACGTTGTTTTCTCTCCTCTTGATCAGAATGATTGAAGACTGCGGGCAGAGCGTTGACACCATGGCAGATAGAAGGCAACTGTTGGTGGAGATGAGTAAGTGCTCAGGGCCGCAGCTCACTGTGATCTTTGCTGGACTGTTTAGCTCAATGACCGTAAAACTGGCAATTTCTTTCTCTCTCTCTCCCTGTCTCTCTGTAAGTTTCATGTACAGCAAATATCATAAAGATCAAGTGTCAACCACATTGATTTTTATACACACAGGCCTGCAATATGACCTCAAGCTGTCTGTTCACACAGTGTGAAGGCGCTAATTTGAATTTATTGAAATACAGCTCATTAATATAACACTGTTTCGTATAAAATATTTTCACAAAAAACATTTATTGTTCAAGTTTTTGATTGGTAAATATTCCCATTTGTCGTGTTTAGAGCTGCTTTGTGGACAGAACTTTCTCACTGTGAGAAAGTTCACCAGAAAATAATCTGGCTCTTAGAAGGTCTTGAAACTAGGTAAATGCAACTTGAGATAAACTACAAAACATGATATATTACACTGTGTCATTTTTATTATTTAGCAAAAAAAAAAGCCAAAATGCTGAAGCAGAAAACCTAAATACATCTTTACTGCTTTCATAGGAATTAAGAGGATTGTAGAATTAAGTAGGAGCCAGGTGCTGCTAATCAAATGCATTTGATTAATTGATCATCAGCAAATGTGAGCACCTCTATTAATCATAAGTTTTGGCAGCTTGTTGCGCTGGAGCGTTCAGGTGTGTGTTACACAATGGCAAGGAGGGAAGACATCAGCGATGATGATATACAAGCAAATGTTGGTGCCCATCATTCAGGGAAGGGTTATAAGGCTTTTTCCAACCAGCTTTCAAATCATCTTTCCACATTTTGAAATATTATTCAGAAGTGGAAAATATTCAAGACAGTGGATATCCTAACAAATTCATCCCCAAGGTAAGACTGCAATGATAAGAGAATCCAAAGAACCCAAGGGCTACATCTCAACTCTGCAGGCCTCAGTTAGCATGTTAAATGCAATTAGCAAAGTGGCAATGTGTGGCCAGAATGCACAGAATCATATTTGGTAGAAACCAAACACAGCATGTCAGCACAAACACCTCATACCTGCTGTCAGGCACGGTGTTGCAAGGGTGACGATTTGGGCTTGTTTTACACCCACAGGACCGGGACACCTTGTAGTCATCGAGTCGACCATGAAATCCTCTGTATAAAGAGTCAAATGTAAGGCATCTGTCTTTGCCCAGAGATCAAAATCTCTTCATAGCGATGTGAGAGACTGATAAAGCCATGCAGAAAATGACTGCTTCATGTTGTTGCTGCTAGAGGTGGTTCGTTTATACTAAAAATTAAGCTTTTAAGGACTAGATCAATTTTATGATAGCCTGGTTGACAGAGAGTACTTTCTTTTTAGTCCTATCTTGTTTTCTCAATGGCATATTTAAATATATAATATTTAACAGTTTGTATTCCATTTTCAGTATTAACTCTCAAGTGACCAACCTGTTTTAACAACTGAAATGACTGAACAAGCTTTCCTGCTCTTCTCCCCCCCCCTGTTATAATTTGTACAGGAATACTTTTTTTTAATGGCTCCATTTGTGTCTATCATGCATGTGCTCTTTCTTTTATTGATAAAATGTTCAAAGGTAATTATGGTGTTCAGTCATTTTCATGTAAAAAGGAGTTACCCCGACTCATCTCTAACTTGAGCTGTTTTCATAGTCATTTTAGGCACTAAGTATCTAAGCTACGGTTCACTGCAGAACTTTAAAATGCAGTGATAAGAAGTGGGAAATTACAATAAAGCCTAAAACTGTAATGTAGTAAAAAATAAAATAAAAATCACTATCACTTGTATCAGTGGCACATATTTGGTCATTTGAGGACTAAAGAGTGATGTTCCTACAGGGGCTCAGGATTTGGATTCTATACGACTGTCGACGTACAGAACAGCCTGCAAACTCAGATTTGTGCAGAAGAAATGCAACTGTGCGTATGAACTTTTATGTATTGATTTTTTGAGATGTTGCACGTGGCCGAGCCAAAAAGGCTTACGTTGACGTCTTCCTGTTTTCAGTGCATTTGGTCGACATTTGGAACGTCATCGAGGCTTTCCGGGAGAACGGCCTCAACGCCATGGACCTCAACGCTGAGCTTTCCGTGGCTCGTCTAGAAGTCGTGCTGTCCACTATCTTCTACCAGCTGAACAAGCGCATGCCCACCACGCATCAGATAAACGTGGAACAGTCCATCAGCCTGCTGCTCAACTTCCTGCTGGCAGCCTATGACCCGTGAGTAAACGCGTCACGTGACGAACCGGCTGCTGGTTGTGTACTTTCACCTCGGAGGTTTTGACGTGAGTTGATGCGGCGTGAAATGTGACCGTGAAAATCCAGACTCTTTTCCCCTTCTAATGTCACAACACGCGGATGTAGAGCGGATAAGTTTGTAGGCTGACTCATGCACATGCTTTTTACAAACACAGCTGATTTCATGCGATTATAGCAGGAACACTACGCAGCCTACATCTTCACAGCTCCTTTTAAAAGAATACATGAGTTTAATGTTTTCGTTTTTTTTCTTTTGTCTTTTAGGGAGGGCCACGGCAAGACATCTATCTTTGTTGTGAAAATGGCCCTCGCAACCATCTGTGGTGGGAAAATTCTGGATAAATTAAGATGTAAGAAACACAACAAATCTTTATCTTACTTTTAATCGTGAAAAATGAAATTATAATTGCCTATGTTGCCAGTAATAAATCAGCGAATTCCTCCTATTCTAAGTAATGTAAAATTATTAGGACCTGTTTTTTTTTTCTGTCTGCTCTGGTTTTAAAACAAGTAGCAGCAGCACTAGCACTGCCCTGGCTCTTCATGGCCGGGAGCAGTCATTATTCATTACTGTATGTGAAGGATAGGGTTTATTACACAATGTACAAATCTCTGGGGGCAGCAGCTTGTAAAAAAAAAAAAAAAAAAAAAAAAA